CTTGCAGGACAGTATGATTGATAATGCCACTGTATGAACCTAATGTGCACAAGTCAGTCAACCTACATTTACATTATTGTATTCACTTAACTTCATTTTTATTATTTTACTATCATTTGTTTTATTTCAGCTTAAGTAGCTCCGATTCACATTGTCATTTTTATTTTTGTATGCAGCCTGTCGTGCTTATTGTCATATCTCTTAAGAGTTGTATTAGATTAAGTATCTTAATTTTGATTTTCGTTTATCTACATATCTAGTTTAGTTCTATACACTACACTCATGTATGTTAAAACTGCTTGTATTTATACCTATTATTTACTTGTTACAAGGAGACTACATATTCAGATACTCCGGGTATCAAAATGAATACCAGATGTCTTACTACTATGTATCTATTTGTTTCTTCTTTACATAGCTGAGTATTTATATACTATTCATTGCATTGTATCCATTGGGTTCGTTTAACTGAATTACTATGGTACTTCTCTGTTCACTTGTGTGTGTGTGACCTCAATGGGTGATTAGAATACATTGTATTACTTTGTATCAATTTTTTTTAATTTTTACTTTTTCTGCCAATGTGTAGATGAATGTATACCTAAGAAGTTTTTTTTTCTCAATTCTCTTTTAGTTGTAGAGGTGTTAAAGAAAGAATTTTTTTTTTTATCAATTTCAACAGTAACCAGAATGTCGCTATTGACAGTGTTGTTCTGCTTGAGTTGGGGGGTGTGTCACAAACCCCTGTGAGCCCACAACCGTTTGTGTGTGTGTAGCAGAACACCTGGTCAGAGCCAAGGCTTTGTATCTCCAATGATGCATGTAGACTTAACCACTGAGGTTATGCGTCACGGATGTTGCAAGGGGACGTAACCACTGTGTTGCGGTGTAGTCCACGAGGGAGGGATTTTGCTCTTGAAACGAAGGGAAAGTGAGCGTGGGTTTTGTAGACCGGACGGTCATTTCCCTCTTCTATTTGTCTTCCTAATATTGTACAAGAAACTTATAGTGAAATCTAACGTTCATAGTCATTAGAGATCTTAGTTTAGTCGCCAGTTTTGTTGATGTACCTGTATGTAAACGTTTTATTTGGAAGATTCTATATTATATGTAAATGAAGTTATACGCCTACGTTTTTCTAACTATATTCAGGTGTTTAGCTTTATATCTTAATTATATAGACAAACACCAAAGTCGCGAAAGGGCTAAAGTCACCAAAGTTCCAGCGTCAACAGTCGGGCCTCCAGAATCACCCTAGACCACGACCAGTTCATCAGGCGCCAGCACACTGCTAGCGTCTTGTGACAAAGAGAGAATCATTGCATCTTCAGCCCTTCTGTCACCAGAGTGGCATCATTTAAGTTTAGTTTAAGATACTAGTTCCATTTTAATGTAATTTTTTAGCCACAGTTTATATTTTAAAATCATAAACACTAGTAAAATAACATCATGTTTCATTGAATTCTATCAGAATGAATGGGGAAACATATAGTAAATATTTTATAACCATATTGGGCCTTTGATGCTGTGCAATCTTGCACTTCAAAACTTTTGCCTTCAGGATCCCACAGAGGGTTGGTCTTGCCCATCTCTTTGATTTTTGGCAGTGATGCAGTCTATGGCATGTATGTTGGAAATTAAATCCCTACCAGGCCTAAAAAGTTTTGGTAGCACTGGTAGTTATTGTCTGTACTACAACTGCTTCTATAAAATTAAATACTCATAGTATTAATAATAATCTTTGGTTGTTGCTTTTCATCAGTTTAATTTTTGAAAGTGTAAACATTGAGTGTGCATCCAACTTTAAGCCAATTCAAATGTAACTTCAAAAAAAGCAAAATGTAAAAAACACTTCTAAAAAATAAATCTTATATAAGGGAAAGAATGGCACTATCACCACCAAATACTGCAAGATATATTTCCCATTTTCTATATAAACAAAATTAATTAATTACCACTTAATAATTAACGAATTTGTGAATTTTTTATTGATTCATGTATTATCTTCAATAAATAATTGTGCCAAGTTTCAACTTGATTCGAGAATGGGAAGTGGGAGATATAATGTGTGCAAGATTTGTACCAGGCAGACAGAGTGAAATTATATAAGCTTTGTAAAATATCTGTGGCATTTTACTTCTCGAGAGACGATCGTTTCCCTTTGCAACTTCTTGTGTGACTATATATTTTATAGAATAATAAGAATCTTTACTGTCCGTAAAGAAATTTATCTTACAATTAGTGTATTACACCAAACAAAACATTATAATTATAAAAAAAAACAAAATGTACATTTACACCAGATTCACTCATAATTTACATGTGAATAGTTTATATCAGATTGTTTCCATTTAATGATTTGATTGCCAGGGGAACAAAAGAGGTTTTGTGTCTATTTGTCTTTGCTAACTGTGTCTTGTATCTCTTGTGATACAAAATCCTGACCATAAGGGTGATTTTTTGTATATAATTTTAGAATTACTTTTTTTCAGATGATACTTTTTGCCATTCACTACATGTTGATTACGTTTAGTATAAATGAATTATCTACATCAGTGTTTCCCAAATGTTTTCCTTAATTGAACACTTCTCACATTCTGAGTATTTAACGGAACACGTTGCCTATTATTTTATAGAGGTTAGTCCATGTGGTGGTTACTAGTTAATTATTCCAGTAGTTCGTGGAGCACCTGTCAAGCCCAGTGGAAACACTAGGATTCTAAAGAACCCAGTTTGGGAAACACTGAATTCTAGGTTATATTATGTAATGTAAAAAAATATCTATCCAGAAAAAAAAATATTAACTCTAATTATTTACCAATTTTTGTTTTGTTTCTTTCAACAGCCACACCCAATGCCTTCATGAACAATATTCATAACACAAATGCCAAGTGAGTACAATTGACATACATCACAACTTATCTTACTCTTTGAATATAGATCATCAAACTCCATTTCAGTGAGGGCTTGAGAGGTACAAATCCTCTCTTGCAAAATAAAAAAAAAATGACTTGGATGAGATTCAATAGATTTTATAAGTGTATTATGTCCGTCTTAAAGAGCACAAATTTCACGTGGGTTTCTTTTATTTTTGATGACGTTCATTACATGCTGTAACAAACAATAAGACAGAAACTTCTTTACAATGATCCTTAATGCAATATATTTGATAAGTTCACACGCAAAATGGTCCAACACTCAGTTGGTTATATTCAAGTGAAGAATATCTTGAACTCTGATTCAGGTCGTCATAGAAAAATACGTAATTGACATATTAAACAGTAGTGACGGATAAGTTGATTACCATATTATTCAAGTTATACAATCGGATTAACTGTCTTTAAATTTTAATTGTATACAGTTTTTATCTTTCTATCAACCTCTTCCAGTTGTCTCACAGGCTCCTGGGGGCTGCAGACAGACTCCAGTTTGAGAAACACAACAGTACAATAATTGTATTGTGACAGAGTTGGGTCTCTCTTCCATTCCATCCAGTTTTTGCCTAATTGTCTTACACCATTCCTCGAGGGGCCATTCCTAGGCACACACATGCACTACCAGTTTGTCACAGAAAATGGGAGTTTCAGCAGTGTGCTCATCCTTTGGCTTCACCTCTAGTCTCAGTAACAGGGATGTAATAATTTGCAACTGCTTGGATCCTATTCAGACAAAACAATTGTTCAGTCAGGCTGGTGAAGATTTAGTGTTCTAAGAGTCTTCGACTCAAATCTCAAGACAATTACAAATTTGATCACAGGCCATATCATTGCATTAAGAGCATGTTCCTTTTATGGTGAGAGTAAATGGCAATGAAATTTTTATCAGGCACATTAGAAACAACACATTTACTCTGTGATCTATCAATTCCCTTTTACAGGCTATGTACATTTTGATTGCTATCAAAATGAAATAGTTTATATTTAATAAAGTTTCATTTTTGTGCTGGTAAATATTATTCATTTTATTTGTAAAGTTGAAAACCTATTATAAAATATTATTCATTTATCTTAATGTTTAAGAAATTTCAAATTGTATTGTCCATGACTAGATCCGTACTATTTTTTTTTTCTCCAGCTTTGCTCCGTTTTTTACCAACCCAGCCCTGTCTAGTCTACATAAGCAACAGCAGCTTCTGCAGCCTCATGAGCAGTTCCAACAGTTTCCTGGCCCAACATTACCCTTCCAATATTCCCCTTATGTCAGCACCCCTCCTCTTGGAGTGGCCAACTACCCCATACCCCCACAGTACAGCAACACTCTGCCTCTGATGCCCCACCAGCAGCAACCTCCAGCTCACAGTCAGCAGTTGCAGCACTTCCAGGAGCAAACAAATGGGCAACAACAGCAGCAGCAACCTATAAACCTTTCCTTTTCTTCACGGGCTATGGCGACAACTGCAGGCGAGATTGATGACTATGATACGTGACCTAATGATAAAAAGATTACCTTCAGAGGAAAGGGCTTTATATTTGTTCAGCGCTCCTCCCTTTCCCAAACATCTTTGGTCTATAAACATGTTTCTTTCATGGACTTCTATATATATTTATATATATATGCATGTGAACCCAGCAAATTTCATGTTAAGTTTCTTCATTAAGTTACCATTGCACAAGTATTTGTGGTACATATTTTTTGTAATGTCATGATAGTTTATGAAATAATATACAAAACTGAAAAACTTAATTTCTAGCAATAGTCTAAATAATTTGAGGAGAAGGTCTGATGTGAATGTATTTGGCTATGATTGAACATTATGTAATTTTTTTGTGTCTAAGAATCAAAAAACAAAGTTGTGAACCCAGCTACTTGATTTGATGGTAGTGTTTTCACTAATTTAGTGTTAAGTGATAGTACTGTAAGAACAATTGTGAAATCAACATCATTCCATTGACCATCATCTCAAAGTCTAAAATTACTTATGAAGTTTGAAACTATTCTTTATTACTTTCAAGACCTTATTGTACACAATGAAAGAAAAATGAATGTTCCAGGATGTGTATATATATATATATATATATATATATACAGTGAACTCTGGGATAAACCCAGATATATAATGTTAGGTTAAATTGAGGTTATTGTCTTTTTGAGGCTTGTTTATTAAGGGCTCATTGAGTGAAAATGGGTTTATTGTTCTCTTTAGTTGGGTTTCTGGTCCTCCATTTGTTGACAGTTTTGTTCTTGAGTTGTTATTATGTTGTTACAGAAGTTTCAGTGACGCTGTTGATACCTTGCTGCGGATTTATTGATATGTTTTGACTGTGCTCTTTTTTTTGTTGTTGTTGTTCACTGGGTCGATTTGAAACATGAGGAATTTGAAATTGGTTGGTAAATGATTAGCCAAAATTTAAAAAAAAATGATTCCCATATGAATTAAGTTATGTCTTTGTTTCTTATTCAGATGTTTGTTTTATGTGCAGCTATGTTTATAAGAGAATGTCGTACAACGCTTGACTTGTAAAGTTTCAGATGTTCCTTCAGAGTTAGTACGTCATAGCCCAGGGAGCATTGGGTGGAGGCAAGGTTATTAACCCAAGATCATATTGATGACAGTCTGGGATGCAAATCCCACAACCAGTGTGGTTGCATGGTCATTAGGTTGTAGCAACAGACAGCTCGTGCCATTAGACCAGTCCTAACTAAACCATTGCAGGTATATGTTTTATTAATGCTGCACTTACATAAAACTGGAACAACTTTTGTTTAAAACAAACATGAGCTTAACTTTGATTGACATATAAAATTGTCAACTTAATGTAGAAAAACAAGTGAATTAATATCTTGAACAATACAAGCACAATACAACTCACTTCAGAACATGAATAAACACACGTCCTTGCGTTTCTAACTTTCATCAGCCGATCATTCTTGTTAACTTCTCTGCATTGGTCTTAAAACATGATTACATCAGAATCTATTCAGTCAATCCAAACATACACACTCAATAACAACCAAGGAGTCAGTTATGGATTGATGTGTAAATGTTTGTTATTTATGATGAAACTAATCGCTAATCTACATAAAGAGAACCATCAAAATGGATTGCTTTAGGAATGCTGTCATTCCCTCACTAAATGCAGCTGAGGAGTTTAAGGCAGCTTCTTCATGCTGTCGACTTTGGCAAACACCATTTTATATCTTTAATTGCCACACACGATTCTGTAATATTCCTAAATCTTTTAGACTCAACGACAAAAACTTATTATATCTTATTGCCACACACGATTCTGTAATAGTCCTAAACCTTTGGACTCAAAGACAAAAACTTATCATGGATGCCTAGTAAAAAAAGAAAAACTTCCTGAGGGACATGACCATTGATTGTTGTTTCTAGTTGACCTTCCTTTGTATAAGAATTTACGATCCTGTTAACTCTGTTTGGTAACCTAGACACAGGTTAATGATTTGTTGTTAATAGATGTTCTCCCTTTTGATAAGAACTCTTCGATTAAGAACACGTTTGAGAATTTTGAGATTAGCTTATGTGTTGAGGTGTGATAATTTTAATAGGTTACGGCAGTGTTTCCCAAACTGTGTTCCGCGGAACCCTAGTGTTCCGCGAGGCCTGAATAGGTTTTCCGCGAACTACAATGGCCACCTCACTAAAGAAAGATGTCTGTGTGATTCATCATTTGAAACAAAGATGTCTTGACTCCTCTTCTAAGACAAAGATGTCTGACTCATCTATAACAGCATGGAAAGTGGGCTACTAATAGGCCTACGTCACAATAAAAAAACAACATTTGCGTGTCAGAATAAAACTAAGAAACGCTTTAATGATGAAACTCTTAACTTAGACTTGTTTTAGACGGTCTATTTCTGTTTCTCTTGACAGCAATGCATCATTGGGCAGCGCCTTTATGCTGTTCTAGGTGTCACTATAAGTAATCATCTAGAACTAGGCTACTAGAAGACCTGCACGTCTTTAGGGGCCTTACAAAGTAGACACGCTAGTAGACGGTGCGCCAATGAATGCTAAAGTGGGCAGTATAAAGTCTTTGTCTCATGTTCCACAGTTGAACTCAGTGGGGCCTCTATCTGATACGTGAATGGCTTCATGCCAAAAGTGATTTTTTTTTCAAAGAGCTCAAAGAAGAGCCACGTATCGAAGCGGCACCTTCGACAGGTCACGAACGAAGTCACTCCCCAGAAAACACTTTGCAGACGCGAGTTTTTTGTTTTTGTTTTCTTTATAAGAAGAAAACGCAGATTAGTCCAACTGACTTCAGAAAAAAAAAAGTTGGCGAACTCATTCAAAGTCTGGGGTAGAACTGAAACAAAAAAAAAAAAAAAAAACTGCTATCGAGGCGATGAAAAGAGAACCTAAATCTACTTTTCCCTGGCAGAATACACCTCTATTGCGTAGTCAATGGTATAATCATGTGAAATGCGACAATTTCAACCTTCTAAGAGACAATACTAGTAGAAAAACTGGTGAAAACAGTGAAAAGAAAATGTAGAGAACTGGAAAAAATATTATTCTTGCCTATGGAAACTAATTAATGAAATATAGTTGAATTTAGTACTGCGGTTGCAAAAGTTTATATTTAGCAAGTAAACTTTGACCTACAAGTGCCTATCAGAACAAATTATGTAACATCACCCACACAATTTCGTAAGGGGTCGTCCAACTGTGACGCATGTACAAAGGAATTAACACCTTCAGAGCGGACGCATGTGGCCAGGGAAAGGGGCAGGTACACAAATATTTCTAAAAGTACAAATCGCGAAAATTAATGCGCACATTATAATGCCTGTTGTAAGAAGTGCAAGAGAAAGAAGTTGGGTCAAATTAAATTCATTTAGCTAAATTAACTCTTTCTCTCCGTAATTATTTTCCTTGTTCCGATAGAACTATTCATTTGGCTCATTTGTATTTCACTGTACTGTTAGGATTAAACATCAATAACTTTTTTGTTTGTTATCAGAAAATTTTATATTTAGTGTCGAATTATAGGAGAATGCATGCTCTTTTTACACAACAAAAATTAAAAGTTTATAAATTCAAAAATCAATTTAGTTTAATGGGATCAAATCAACTTTGGCATCGTCAATTAGGAGTTAAATAATGCTAAAACCGTTTCCTCGGCATTATTAATGTATACCTATGTCTGAATATGTATGCAAACAATTTATTTCCTGATGTATATAAAACAAGCTTTTACGTGGGCGCACCAAATAGATCAATGATTAGAGGATAAACATTAGAGTTGCAAACACTAATAATATTGTTAGAGAATTAGAGATCGTCATCCATGGCGGGAAAAGTATTAATAGCTTTTTGGTGTATCTGGTGTACGGAATAGTCCGATAACAAGAAGTGTTGATAAGCTGTGTTTTTTATTTAAAGTTATTAGAAACTATGTGTGCCCATTTTAGCACTGCAGAATCCAATTTTCTAAGCACTTCCATTTGTAGCAAAATTTTTGTTTTATTTAGTTGGCATCATTGAAGTTTAATCTAGCATCACTCATGCGTTTAGTAGGTCACAACGTAAAAAGCGCGCGGTGTTTTGATGAAACGTCAATCACTTATAGGAAGAAAGATATAAAGATCGTAGTCTATTGAGATACAATTGTATTAAATTAATCAAAACAACCGAGCTTTGTTTAATATGTAAAACACATCGTAAACTAGACCTACAAATATGGTGTCATTTAAAAAAAAAAACTTTATTAGATTTCCCATCCCCTTTTATATATATATATATAATTTGGCTGATATGTGGGTGTCTCAAAGTAAAAGAGGTGAAAAGGTGTCGGAGCAATCTGGATGTATTTTGTTAGAGAGGAGGAGTCCAAAAACACGCTGTTTTTTTTTTTAATTTTTTTTTTTTAGTTTAGACGTCGTAAGTGGATGAGCCCTAGGATGATATTTATTATTTTCAGGTCGCTGTGATCTAGGAACAATAACTAATTTCGTTGTTGTCTTGTTGAGGGAAGATAACTCCCACGTCTTGAGAGACCAAGGCATACCTGCAATATTAGCAACTTTAACACGCGCAGAATCGTCCATTTCTAATTATTTACACGCACACGGATCAGAAATCTGGCTAACAAACGGCATCTAGACTGTGACTTTGCATTAATTATTTTAAAGGCAACATACCAATCCGAAAACAAGAAACAACATTGAGGGAACAGGTCAACAAGGAGGTGGGGAGCAACAGAAACTTGGCAGCGCAATAGACAGAAGTAACAAAAGGAGGGAATGGGACAACACAAAGAGACAACAATAAAGCAGCGATATGCATAACATGAGAGATGATGTTAAGCTCATCTGTTTCTTTGGTCAACGGTTAACGAGCAGGGTGTCATGTGGCCAGCACAACGACCAACCGCAACTACTTTCCCCAACTAAAGTCAGGTACCCACTAGAGTTGGGTGGACTCAGGGGCGCCCTAAAACATCCGACATTCAAAATCAGTCTTCAATGAGATTGGAACCCAGCACCCCAGGTTCGGAAGCCAAGCGCTTAACCACTCGGCCACTGCGCCTAGTCCCTAGGGACTAGGGAGATACCCAACAACAGAGGCCTTTACTTTATTCAAATGTTTGCACTACGTTATATTTTGAATCCAGTAACAAAAAAATGTTTTTGTTTTAAATCAATTCTTCTTGTATGAAGCTGATAGTTGTCTACAATTTCTCATTCTATGTATTTCTTCTAATGCTTCATTCTTGCAACTCTTTACTGAATAGAAAGAATCATTTGAGTCGATTGCAGTCATTTCCATCCAAGCCATATTCACAAAAACAGATACCAAATATATAATAATAAGGACTTCCTACAATCACGTAGTCAAACAGTCTGCAAGAAAACGCTGCATTCGTTGGCTTTGAAATAATAGATCTAGAGTCAATCTAGACTAACAATAATAAATCTGTGCGCCTAGAAATATTTTTTCCAATTGTTTTTGTCTAGCGCTATTTCTTGCCGGTAGCGTGCTCAATACGCTAAGGTCCTATCACTTGTCTGAACCAGTTGGGAAAGGAAGTGGGGGGGGGGGGGGAACGAAGAGGTATCGGTGTGAATGTTGCCGTGATGACTTTGTAAATGGATTACAAATACCAAAAAAAAAAAATTAATTACCAATAGTTTCATTAACTAATAGGTTAAATGTTTTAAAATTGATTCTTGTTTCGTCAGGGACAAGAAATAATTGTGCAAACTTTCAACTTGATCCGAGATAGGATGTACAGACGTACAAACGTTTTACCCGACAGATTGAGTTAGTTGATATAAACTTTGTAACAAGCAAAATCTAAAAAAATTCTTAAAAGAAAACAATACTTATCTGAAGAGGAAGAACTCCGTCCTTAAAACTATATAATATTTATCAATAATGTACAAGTTATTTCCACTATTTGATATCCAA